CCCAAAAAAGGGGGGGGCACCCCCCCCCCCCCCCCCCCCCCCCCCCCCCCCCCCCCCCCCCCCGCCCCCCCGCCGGCCTCGTCCGCTGCCGTAGATGCCGCAGCTTCAGGGCCGGGCGAGGGTGCTGCGGGTTCCACGTTCGGCTCTACAGCAACTTTCGGTGCGAGAAGCGATGAACAAGATGTAGCTGAAATTCGAGCGGACGGGGTAAAGTCTCTGGTACTGGCGTTCAGTCTTTGCTTCCGCCCGTGTTTTGTCCCAGCGGAAGAAGTATATCTCTGCGTAGGTAAGTATATAAAGATAAATCTAAGGTGTGTGACAAAGGAGAAGTATTTCTGCCATCGGAAACAGCTGTTGCTGGAAGCTCCTGGTTCTACTCAGCAAGTTCTCAGGGCTCTCCCTCAATTTACTCGTTATATGTTTAACAGTTATTAAGTAGGAATTAATTACACTTGGCTGAGTAAGGGTGAGCAGTAGTTCTGCAAATGACTGCAGGCTATAAGACCAACATGTGACTTTACTTTTTCCCAAACTTTCCAGGTATTTTTCTAGACTTTTTGACTCCCTGTGTACTGCTCTTTCCAGGATGTGTTCCCTTTGGTGTGATTTAAATTTCTCTTTCACTTTACCAGATTTTTATTACTCTTCCCCCCTCTCCTTCATAATATTATCCCTGTTAACCTCTGTTCTTTCCTGCTTTTCTCTTCACCTTTTGCCTCCTGCGTTGTTTTTTGTCTGTCTGTTGTCTCTCCAGTCCCTGACTTTCTGTAGCTCCTCTCCTTGTACCTGCTCTCTATAGAGAGGGTGCAGTGCATCAGCCCACAACTCTGGCTCAGCTGCATGTGCTCCCTGTTGCTTCCTGTAAAGTGCATAAGCAATGTAGGAGAAAAATCAGAATTGCAGCGTTTCCTTCTCCTCTTATCCCTTTTTTTTTTTTTTTTTTGAAGGGAAAGAAAAAGCCTCCATACAGCAACACCCAATATATGTACTCTAGCTAAGGAAGCAGAGTGCTGTTAGGATCTTGGTTCTGGTGGAAAGGGGAGAGGCTCCTAAAAATCCCTCTCTGGGTTGAAATTGCAGTGTGTCCCCTCTTGGGGGTGCAGGATGGCAGAGGTGTAACCCGTTGGTCATCAGTTTGCTTGGAGTCTGATTTATTTGCTTCTCACTGATGCTTCTTGGGATACAGTCTAACTCAGTCATACATTAGAAACTG